CAAAACAGTGGAGTAAAAAAAAAAAAAAAAAAAAGACACGTGTATGGTTGAAGAGGTGAAACGTGGCAGACGAGAAATGGACTCAACCGCATGGTCCGCATTTCCACCTCGTTCTAATTCGCCTTACGCTTATCAACAAAAAGGAGCACACGGAGAAGAAAATCCTGCAAACCCGCATGGAAAAGGAAAAAAAGGTTAACGTGGGGTAAAATAAAAAGGCTAGTTCATTTTTCACCCTCGGCCAAGTGGCCCATGAAGCGACGTCATCTTACTGAGGAATTATTTCGTTCAGCATGGAGGGGTTCAGTTCTTCATCTGCCATGAGGAGGTGGATGGGAAGGTGAGTTAACCAAGTACACACACTTGGCAAATACACAAATGTAACTACTAGCAAGGGAGAAGCGTTTCTCGAGTTGAAAAAAAGAAAACCTACCGATTAGCTCCTCGTTTGTTACTCGACTAATAAAGCAGAAACAGCTATACCTGCGAAGTAGGCACACATGGGGGGAAACTGTCTCACTGCGGCGAAGCAACGACCACGTGGTGACGATTAATACGCCCCCATGGAGATAGCAACACCCCCCCTTTAAAAGGGAGACACTGTCCCCACCCCATGTACGTGTGTGTGTGTGTCCTTACCAACTCATGCAAAAGCAAAAACAAATGATAAAAAACCCGAAGAAGAAAACCTGCACAAGAAGGAGTACAAATATTTGTGTAAAAGCGCACCTCTACTCATCTTTTCACACTTTCGTTTGTTAATCGGACGTGTGGACAAGGGCTCACTGCTCCGTGTAGCTCTCTAAACACACTCACCAGAAACACCAAGCTGGGTGAGAATTGAAAAGTATTTTGAACACTGAGCAAGAAGAAGAAGCACAAATGCGATAGCTTAACTAGCCAAATGGCGTAATTATTAAATAGGAAGATGTCCTTGGCATCTCTCAGTGTCCCTTCTGCGATTAGGTTTTCTTGTAACTGCAAGGGGGGTTTGGGGGAGGGGCAGCGTTTAGGGGACCACATGCATTGCAGGTGAGCTCTTCTCGGGTAAGCGAAAAGGAGAGTTAACACATGGACAACCAAGCCTTCCCCCACAACACAATGATGTACAGGGAGAAAACGATTCAGAGTAATTTCTCTCCCTTTTGATTAAACAAAGACATGCACCCACTAACATCGTGGAGATGATTGGGGAAGGCAGGGTCATCCACTATAATTACGAACCGCTTATCACAAATGACACTCAAGATCAGCATAAGCACGAGCGACCATTACCATTTTGAATAACTTGGGTGGGGTAGATGACGGGGGGAAGAGATGCAGAGGTGACCACACCTTCGCAGCGTTACCGATTCAATATACAAGGGACCCTTGTTCCTTTGGAGAAAGAGAATCGTAAAAGGATTGGTCACAGCCATGTGCGTAGGTAAATGCTCGGGTGTCCCTTCTGTTGCTTCGTCAGGTGCTACCCCCTCCCCATCCCGGATGGCCATATAAGGGGGAATCTTTTTTTTTTTTTTTTTTTTTTTTTCTCTTGTGTGTAACAGATTTTGCGGTACTTCCTTTTGAATGGTCCTTTCACATGCCCCCATCGGCAAAGAGGAAACATCAAAAAAAGGAAGTAGCAAAAAAAGGTGCAGCAAAGAAAAGGAAGGAAGAGGGCGAAGGTGAGAGCTAAAAGTGCAGATCATCTCGCTGATCGACTTGGAACCGAAAGGGGGGGGTAGAAAATACAGGGCGTATCGAACAAGGGGAAAAATCGGTGACGTCGTGGCCAACAGAAAGGTGAAATTGTCGCGCGCTGGAGCGGAGGAGGGCGAGGAGAAAGGGTGCTAGTCCAGCAAGGGAATATATATCACCGAGTGAATGCCCCAAGAATGGAGAAAGCCCATCACAAGAACGAGTGGTGCATAAAATAAATTGCCGATTAAAAAAAGGGACCGTAACACTGCCAATTGTGTTCACCTAGGCTCACGGCAGGATGCGTGAACTTTTTTCTCCCCGCCCCCCAAAAAAAAATACAGGATGGAGATTGCAGTTAAGAAGGGGGGGAACTCGTGGGGACATTAAAAAAAATTAATAAAATAACTATTCGCCCCTAATTTTTCACTGGGCACGTTTCTCCCTGTCCATATGGGACACACACGGGGTATGCGCACTGTATAATGCATACCTTACGAGGGATCGATTAGGTTGTTCGTTCAACGTGTAGCAGCGCATGATATGGAGGGGGCTGCGCCCCTGTCGCGAAGAACACTCCCTGCAGCAACCTCCGAGGCAGGCGTAGCGTGGGAACGCCTACGTGTTATAATTGCTTACAAATATATGGCGTTTATTTTACTAATTTTAATAAAGTTATTTGAACAAATTCTTTATAAAATAAAATATAAAAAACAGAGGAAACAAATGACATGGAGGGGAAAAATGCATTTGCAATTGTCTGAGGGTTTGCTGGCACAGGCACTTCATGTACATACATGCGCACGTGCGTAACCTGGGAGCAAAAATAAAGCAGCGAAGAAGAAAAGACGCATAAAACAAAAAGGCAGAGAGGAGAAACCACTCATAATAAAGCAGCAAAGAAAAGAAAAAAAAAAAAAAAAGACGTATAACAAAAAGCAAGTGTCTAAGCAGGTTAACAAAGCAAATTAGAGCAATAAAGCTGTGCAAAGAGGCTATACAAGTGGCAGTGCAAAGGGGGGAGGGGGATAGAAAAACGACTAGCCAAAACACATGCACATATGCACGCACGCCACCGGGGGAAAAAAAAATTCTTTTTCTGACAATTCACCTGAACAAGTCAGAAAAAAAAAAAAAAAAAAAAAAAAAAAAGCTGTATAGTGAGACAGGGAGAAACCCCACACACCTAGACAATCACTTTAGGCCGCCAGTACAAATAGACCTTGCTCATAAGGATCAAGAAAAATTCGTTGTACGAATATATAAGTACCCCCAAAATACAAAAAAAAACTGAAAGGGAAGAGTGGTAATTGAGACATTGTTTGGCATCATATTTACAAAAAAAAATATGACTGAAAAGAAAAATAATGGCGACTTTGAGTCCCTTGAGAATTCCAACGGTCAGTGAGCCACTAATCTTCATGATATACCACAGGGTGGACGACGTGATGAAATTGAAAACAAAGAGCCCCAAAAAACTGAGCCAAATGGTATTAACATTTCCCTTCTTCTTCCTTATATTCTTCATAATGAGATGATCAAAGTTGGGCATAGTCCATATGGCTGTCCACAGACTAACAATGCAGAAGCTGAATATACCCATTAAACATACAATGTTCTGTCCTTCCATTTCCCCCATGTACTTTTCATTGAGTACAAATGTTAAACCCATGAGTACATTACTTAGTATAATTAAAATAACTCCAATAATTTCTTCCTTGTTAATTTCCAATTTGAGATTATTCGATTTTATGGCTATGCCAAATGTTATTAACAAAATCCCAAGCAACTGAAAACAGTTGATCTTTTTGTTCAGCAGTATTCTCCTCCATATTGCCGTGAAGATTAACGTGCAGCTATCAATTATTATGTACAGAGCGGAGCCTGCATATATTAGGCCAATTTTTTTCAATACTTGATTTACTAAATCCAGGATGGAAACAAAAAATATCTTCATCCATTTGCATTCAGTTAATTTCTGCTTCTTCGGTAGGAATCCCACAACTATCATGGACAGGTAGTGCGGTAAAAGAAATATAAAGGTGCTCGAATTGCCGCACCCATTGTACTTTATAATGTCTATGAGTAAAGGCTGGAAACAGTAGCTAACAAGGAACAAAACAAATGCCGTTCCATATACTATTTCATTTTTCATTTTTTGTTAATGAACTGGCGAGGCCTCGACGATGTGTGTATGTGTGTACGTGTATACGTGTGTGAGTGAATGTGTGTGTATCTGTGCTATTCGGGCAGTGCAACGTCTAACAAGGTGATCACCTTTCGCCAAGTGTTCCTTCACTCGTCAGGTCGACTGTAGGAAACTGCAGGTAAATATGCTTCTTCCACGCACGCAAGGCGAACATGTTCTAACACGTGGAAGCGCGTGCATACACAGTGTATAATCGCAGGATGGGAGAAAAAAAAAAAAAAAAAGCACTAATTGGTCTGTGATAATTTATAGGCCACAAATGGTAACGCGGCAAACACGGATAGGCGTTAGACCACGTGGGGCATACACTACTGTACACACACAAAGGGCGAAAGGCATTCCTCTCCCTCAATGCTCATCAAGCAATCATGAAAATGAAAAGTTTGCTCTGCGCGAACGTTAACTACACCGAGGGGTTATTCGGATGGTGGACGCGAAAAAAAAAAAAAAATAATAATAAAAATTGGCAAAAAAAAAATGGATGCAGTGTAGATGCACAGATGCACTGGGAAACAAATGGGCAAAATTGAGTTAGATGATTTTAAACATGTGAAGGAGGGGCTATTTTGGAAGACGCAGTACATGCAAGGTTTGTGTGTGTAGAAAAGGTACACCTGAAAAGAGGCACACTTTAAGTAGCTACGTATAAGTCGCACACGTATATATTCATCTAAGGACACGCTCAGTGGTGGTGGTGAGAGAGGTGTCCTCGTTTCACTTCAACGCGGTCTGCCAACGTGACAACGCAACGAAGCAACGACGCAACGGTGAAGTGAGACGCACGACGGTGCTCAGAGGGCTGCCAAAGGGCAACAGTCATAAGGGCTTGACCAATTTGTCTTGCGTTAAAACGAGTGGGATGGGGGTGAGGCGACTTAAAAAAGGGTCTCTCCCCTGCGCGATAAACCACACGCTTGGTACAAGCAAACGTTAATGAAAAACGCACTCACACATAAGCACAGGTATATGTATATGTGTACGCATATGTATACGCATATGTATGCATTCACTCTGGGTAAAACTCAGGTGGAACACGGGGGGTCTCGGTCTATTAAAGATGCGCATACAAACAAATGAGCGTCTGAATGCATCCAGCGGCACATGGACTGTACATGAATACATGTATACATGCGTAAGCGTAACCACGTAAAAGGAATATTTAATTAAAAAAAAAAAAAAAAAAAAAAAAAAGAAAAAAAAGGAAAAAGGAAAAAGAGCAAAATAAGGAATGAAATGGGAAGTTCGCTCGATAGCTCACTCGGTACCTCACTCAGTAGCTCACTCAAGTAGCTCGGTCGGTCGGCAACTACTACCACGCTCACACGTACATTAACATTTGACTGTGACGCATACAACAGGTGAACAAGTTAGCACACTGGATTAACATTAAAGAACATCTTGACGTAGCCTAGTTTGAGTAGTCCTCGTTTCACTTCAACGCGGTCTGCCAACGTGACAACGCAACGAAGCAACGACGCAACGGTGAAGTGAGACGCACGACGGTGCTCAGAGGGCTGCCAAAGGGCAACAGTCATAAGGGCTTGACCAATTTGTCTTGCGTTAAAACGAGTGGGATGGGGGTGAGGCGACTTAAAAAAGGGTCTCTCCCCTGCGCGATAAACCACACGCTTGGTACAAGCAAACGTTAATGAAAAACGCACTCACACATAAGCACAGGTATATGTATATGTGTACGCATATGTATACGCATATGTATGCATTCACTCTGGGTAAAACTCAGGTGGAACACGGGGGGTCTCGGTCTATTAAAGATGCGCATACAAACAAATGAGCGTCTGAATGCATCCAGCGGCACATGGACTGTACATGAATACATGTATACATGCGTAAGCGTAACCACGTAAAAGGAATATTTAATTAAAAAAAAAAAAAAAAAGAAAAAAAAGGAAAAAGGAAAAAGAGCAAAATAAGGAATGAAATGGGAAGTTCGCTCGATAGCTCACTCGGTACCTCACTCAGTAGCTCACTCAAGTAGCTCGGTCGGTCGGCAACTACTACCACGCTCACACGTACATTAACATTTGACTGTGACGCATACAACAGGTGAACAAGTTAGCACACTGGATTAACATTAAAGAACATCTTGACGTAGCCTAGTTTGAGTAACTTTTTTTTTTTTTTTTTTTTTTTTTTTCGCAAGAATTCCTTTCACTTTAAAAATGGCATTTATATAAAATAAAACTCGCATCTGATGATCCTACAAGGTCAACTCAATCTCGTAACCATGGTAAAAAGAAAAGGTAGGAAGAAGAAAAAAAAAAGAAGAAGAAGTGGGGTACTTTAAAAACTCTCTCGTATTTCCAATTGTGTCATTAGAAAAAAAAAAATAAAATAAAATAAAATATTTCTCACACACAAAACGCAGCCCAAGTGCAAACGTGCGGTGGGGGGAGGGGATTTTTGTTTGCTGATTTTTTTTTTTTTTTTTTTTTTTTCTTCTCCCCTTGCAGATGTTTTTATTTTTTTTCTCATTGGGGTATTTTATGCAGATCCACTCGCTCCTCCTATGTTGTTGGGTGAAGTGGAAAAAAAAAATATATATATGTACGAAGCAGTGCGTATTACGATGATGCCGGTAAAGGTTTGACTTCCCTCTCATGGGAGCGCCGGGAAGGGGCGTAAAATACAAGAGGTGTGGTTGCTATGCTTCCTTTTGGTCGCTACTAGGTGTTTGCGAGAGGGTAAAACTCGTGAGGGCGGGGGGTATACCCCCATGGGCATATAAATTTATTATATACTGCTTGTGGGCTAATGTGTTTTTATATAATATTATTTATGCGGGGTGCCTAGGGGATGTGTTCTTTTTTAGGGGTACGTTTTTCCTCCTCGGCGTTGCTTAGTCACAGCATAGTCCCGATGGGGAGTGCCATGAAAGAAGGGAGAAAGAGCACCGCCGGAAGGGACACAGGGACAAAAAAATAGATGCCGGTCGTCCATTGGTTGGTGGGTTCATTCATATGTCTAGCTTACCTTGCCAGTGCGGCGTTCATAATTTTTCTTCCTCGGGTGGACGCGTTAGTTTAGGTCGCGATCGTTGTTCTTCTCTTCAGGGTGGGGCGACGCCCTGCGATGGGCGACTGGCAGATGGGTGCTGGCGAACCTTTACGTTAGGCCACAGGTGCACTGGGAAAAAAAAAGGCAAAAAAAAAGGCAAAAAAAAAGGCAAAAAAAAAGGGCAAAAAAGAGATGCCGCAAAAATGGCGCTATATAAATGCCACGGAGAAGCCGCTAACGAACCCCACTGGGCTTTCCAAATTTACAAAAAAAAAAAAAAAAAAAAAAAAAAAAAAAAAAAAAAAAAAAAATAAAAAAAAGCGAAAGATGATTTATATAAAAAGGATAAACGAAGGAATGGAAAAAAAATAGCCAAAGAAAAAGTTGCTAATGTTTGTGTAGTTGAGGAGCTACAAAGGAGTTGCTAAAAGTGGAGAAAAGGGGAAGAAAAGCCAGCAGAGCAGCAAAACAAAATTGAACCAGCCGCCCTTTTCCTTTTTTTCCCTTTTCCGGTAAGAATATGTATGTAATACAAAACAGATTTGAAAAAAAAAGTCAAGCATAGGAGGGGGGAAATTCTACAAGGGATGTACTGCCCCCGTGGAGTCCACGCGCTTTTGTATTTCCCCCCCTACATATAAATAAACGTATAATCTTCACGTCCTTTCTACGCTCCTACGCGTGCCCACTGTTTCACCCACGTAATGCAAAAATACACGTCTCCTCTTTTTGTCACCCAACAGGCACGGATAAAAAAAAATGACACAGGAGATCAAGTGATAAATTCTTCATCCCTCTGTGCCCCCTTGTGAAGCCACTTCTCTGCAAACGGCTGTGGAGATAAACGCCACAAAAAAAAAAATAACACTCAGCGCCCAAGGAGGCAACGAGACAAAAAAAAAAAAAAAAAAAAAA